AGATCTACAAATAGTAGAAATGTGTGTTTCCATAGATAGCTGCGAATCAAACAAGACACCTATGTTTTTAGCATTTGACGAAGCACTAACCAATTCTTCACCAATTGCGATACTAGACAAAGGACACAAGTCTTGTGAGAAACTCCGAGACGACATGGACACAAATTCAGTTTTCGACACATTCAAAAGTAGGAAATTACAAGACATCCAATCGCTAACATCTTGAATACATGTTTGAAGTATCACTTGAGCGCGAATTTGATCATCTTCAGAAACCAATAAATAAATGTGTGTGTCATCAGCGTAAAAATGACGTGACGTGACGTCGCAATAACTCGCCCAATGGACGCATGTACATTGAGAACAATAATGGCCCTAAAACGGAGCCCTCTGGAACACCGGTTTCTAATATAGACGTCATATCAGAAAATACATTTCCAATTTTCACTTTTTCCTACAGATTACTACAAATCAGGACAAAAATGCCAATCTTTCACAGAACTACGATTCTTTAGGCTTATATCAAGCCAACCGATAACAAAATTCAGCCGAATTCTGAGTTTTTGTGTGGAAAAATCCCTTAAATACCAACACCTAATTACATGAAGAACATAGAACACTTTCCTGGGGTATTTGAAACCAAAAATTGTCATTCCAGCTCAGCAGCCAATCAGTGATGGCCTTATAGTTAGATGACAATTTCGGTTTCAAATATAACAGCTTAATCTTCTAGGTACTATGTGTAAATAGGTGTTAGTATGCATCTGAAAGCCACACAGGGGTTGATATGGGAATCTGCTAATCTTTCCAATTAGCATGCTGGTTTTGTTTACGTGCACTGAAGGTAGAAACATAACATTTTTATCTTCTCAATCTGATTCTCCATAATCTAGTGCCAAGTGTTTTGAGCCCTAATCACTGTCCAAAGGTAATGTTTGGAAGCAGATTGTCAAATTTTATTTAAATTAAGAATCAATACTGTAAAGGTAGTTTTTAACTGGGTTTTACTTTCACTATTTTCACTGATAAGTTAAAACGCTCTAAATTAAACTCATGTGAACATATAAAATAGCAATAGAACTCATAGTCTCATGAATTTAAAACTTAGTGAATAAGTTCAAAGATCAAAAAAGTGAAATTAAACACCAGTGAAAATGAATGCTTTTACAGTAGCTTACATTTTCTGATTCTAAAATATACTATTGTTATTGGTTTTATTTTGTTATTATTTATTATATGAATTCTATAATGATTACCTGTATCACTTTTTAATGCTTTGTTACAGATTTTTCAGGTACCCACTGGTAGGATGTTAAAAATGCCCAAAGAAGCCACCAAGGTTGGTGCTTACCCTGTGGCACTGATACCAGGACAATTCCAAGAATATTACCGAAAGTAAGTTTAGCTTTTGTTTTTTCATGTGAAATGGAAAAGAGTTAGTAGATAAATGCATTGTTCCTGATTGGCTATCCTGTAATCAGTAAACAACCTGCTTATCCCACTTTCTTACAATGCATAATCATTCCAACTGGTATTTTCCATTATGGATTTGTCAGACTTTCCAGGAAATTGTCAGTTTTTATTTTTCGTTATCATTGAAGATGACTGAGTGCGTGTATGTTGTCATTAGTCCTGCATCTGCATCAACTTTTGCAATCCCTTGCCCATAAGCAAACTTTAGTAAAAAAAAAAGTGTGTGTGTGTGGGGGGGGGGGGGTTGCTGCGTCTAAGCGAACATGACACTGAGGTTATATCAAAAGATCTATAACAGATAATGATATGCATCTAAATTCTATTGATTATGAGAAATTTAATGTAGAACAAAGTTTTCTAGAAACACAGGTTAAGTCTGTTCCACTGATATCTCAAGAACCATACATTGATTTCTGATGAAACTTGGTGCATAGATGCTCTGGGCCAATGCGCAGATTTGATTAGTAAAAACCCCATGCATATTAATTACCTAATTTGCATGATAATTAGCTGATTTTTAGCTGTTCCATGACTCTTCCACTGATATCTAAAGAACCCCTCATTGGATTTTGATGAAACTTGGCACATAGATGCTCCAAACTAATGCGATTTGATTAGTTTTGGGTAAAAATCTGTGCAATATTAATTACCTAATTTGCATAATGATTAATCAATTTTTGGCATGTCCACTGATATCTCAAGTACTAATCATCACATTTCAATAAAACTTGGTACATAGATGTCATAGGACACTGCACAAACCTGATATCAGTAGATATTAATTACCTAATTTGCATAATGAATTAAATTTCAGCTTTTGATATTTCAAGTAGTAATCATCACATTTCAATGAAACTTGGTACATAGATGTCATAGGACACTGCACAGACCTGATAGTTTTTAGGGTAATATCAGTACATATTAATTACCTAATTTGCATAATTAATTAATTTTCAGCTTTTGATATTTCAAGTAGTAATCATCACATTTCAATGAAACTTGGTACATAGATATCATAAGACACTGCACAGACCTGATACGGTAGTTTTTAGGGTAATATCAGTACATATTAATTACCTAATTTGCATAATTAATTAATTTTCAGCTTTTGATATTTCAAGTAGTAATCATCACATTTCAATGACACTTGGTACATAGTTACTTAAGGACTGTGCAGACCCCTGATTAGTTTTTTGTAAATATTTATGCTTATTAATCACCTAATTAACATAATTAATTAACACTGATATCTCAATTACTGATCATCACATTTGAATAAAATTGGGTACATAAATGCTTTAGGACAAAAGACAGGCCTGATTAATTTTGGGTTAAAATTTGTTCATATTAATTCTCTAATTAGCATAATAATTCATAATTGTTTTGTTCTGTTCTGTTCATATTAGTTACCTGATTTGCATAATTAGTTTTCAGCTTTTCCATCAATATCTCATGTACAAGTAATTTTGAATTAATTTTTAATGTGTTTTCAATACTCTCAGCACACGGGAGTTCTTTCTAAGCTTTCTTTGATTGATTTTGTAATATACTTGATACAATAGAATCACTTTTGATTAAACTTAGACAATCTAACTTTTGCAAACTGTTGTCTGACAATTCTGTTTAATTACTACCGGTAGTTGTTTGTATGACAAGTGAATATGTAAATTAGCAGAGAAGAAAAATTTTCGTTTTTTTTCTTGATTTTTCAAAAATTTATAAAGCGGTTACTTTAGATCTTGATATATCATCCCAGTTTTTTCAAAAGATTGAACTGTCGGAAAGACGCTGCTCAGATTAGTGTTTTGAACGCTTACACAAATAACTACAACTGCTGGCCGTTTCGCGGATATTTGCATAATGTTTATCTGTTGTTGACAATTCCAATATAACGAGTGATAAGCTTCCTGTCGCAAACAATGCGTGTTTATCTAACGTCCATTGTCAGCATTATTGTCTGTCAAGCTTAAGTCGAAAAAACATTTTTTTAAATTGTTTTAGTTTTCCAAGCCCATATTCAATTTTACTAACATCATAAAGCCATAACTGGGCAATACTTACCAATCATCTTGTATTTCTCTCCCCAGTAATTCATGATCAGTAACTAAAGAAGGGATTGTTTTCTATAGACTGGCAAAGTTTGTTTTACAAAAAAAAAATATAATTGTCAATTTAGGCTTTTTAACGCGAGCACAAAAACTAGCGTGATTGCGAAAGAATTCCCGACTGGACGCAGCCGACCCCCTGCATTGGAGTGAAAACCAGAGTGGAATCACTCCGGTGATTATGCTAATTAAAAGTTGCTGACAACGAATCAGAGTGCAGCTATATACGTCATATCTTATCTATGTTAATGTACGTGACCTTTCACTTCTGAGGTCTCGGCGATTTTGAAAGTCTACTTATATACATTGAACATTTAAATCGACTTGTTTTCAGTAAACATGGATGGAAGTATCCATGTCTGCAATCGAATCGAATCAACCTTTAAAAGGTCATGTTTAATTTCACACATGAATAATCAATGGCATCATGAATAATTAATAGCAGTCAAATACCTGCAGATGCGTCCAGTCGGGATTTCTTTAGCGGTCAGGTTAGTTTTCGTGATCATGCTAAAAGAACAATTTATTATTTAATTTTGTAAAACAAAAAAGAAGTCCCGACTTTGCCAGTCTATGTTTTCTACGTCGTCTTGCTCCCGGGTCTCACTATGGTCTTCTTGTTGCAGCAAATTCTTTCTTCAAACATCAAACATTTTGTTTCACCATGATAATTTATTAGATTTCTTATCAGAGACACTCGAAGGATTAGCTTGTTTGTAAACAGTCAGCATGTACACTGGGACAGAATGTTCTTCAGAGGATTATCCCTCGTGCATTTACATAACAATGGAAGTCATGTCTTTCGTATGCTACAGCAGTATGAAACTGAGACATATTCTTCAATTTTCACACTCGCGCTTGAAATTATTCGTTATTTGACACGATTAATGGGTTCTATGATATGAGTGTTTAATATGTTTGGTCATTCTTAGTGTATGTTTATAATAATACATCAAATCTGCATTGTTTTACTATCCCAAACTGTTTTTCGTGTTTTTCTTGAGTTTAAGATTTGATTCAGTATGGCTCATTGAGACCACCATCAAATCAAGTGCATCAGGCTATGACATTCAAACTCGCACTTATTGTTCAAAAGATAATGACAGTGCAAAATATGTCTGGATTTTTTAAGAAAATTCTTTGTCACAGAATAATAGTCTGTTAAAGGTGCCAAGTATGAACTAATTAGCGAACAAAAAAACAAACCTGCGTAGAAATCAGAAAAATAGGTCTTTTGATTACCGGGTATACATTTCAATGGACTTGATTACGGACAATGCATGCATGTATGTAAATGTGTCGAAATAGGCGTAGTGCGAGTGGTTAGTGCTAGTAGCACTAATCCGAAAAAGTACTAGATCTAGTGCTAAAATGGCACTAGATCTAGCGCTAAAATGGCACTAGATCTAGTGCTAAAATGTGCACAGTGCGAGTGGCATTGTTATCGCATTGTCAACGACGTCGAATAATAGGAGGGGCATCAACAACCACTTTCATATGCAAACTGCAAACAGTATAAAACATTGGCAATATGCGTGAGATGTCCATAATAATACTTTCTTTATATAATACCGGATTCTGCCGTAAATTCG